GTCTAGGGTAAATATATAGCACATTAACATAGCTTAAGATAAACATTTCCATAAGAAAAACACATTGTTTACCTCAAGGTTTGAGAAAAGTTAGGTTCAGGTGGAACCAGCTGTCGTTATGGCAGGTTTTTAGGAGAATTTTAAGAGAAACCTCCTTTTAAATTTGTATAGAGAAGGAAAAAAAAGAAATATCGCTAGTTTGTTTCCTCCTGCTGCTTAAGAGAGAAAAAAATGTCTGGCACTTGCAGGCTGTTTTCTGCATTTGGAGACCCCAGGCCTTCATGCCTGTTAAGTCAAACTAGATCGGCCAAATAAAAGAAAGGTTTGTGGCGGCAGGGGCCCAAAAAGTCCAGTAGGTATTCTAGAGGGGACCGCTTGAGGGTAAAGGAGTTTAGGGCTGGTATATTGACTGTAGCACTGCTGGATGTTGAGGGTTTGAGGGAAAAGGTGGAATTTGCCCTGGTTTTTGTTGAAGGGGACCTGGGTGGTCTCCTGCTTGGAGTTTCCCGGAATAGGTTTTCCTTCAATATCAAATTTCGATTTACACTCTTTGGCCCAATGCGTTTCTCTTCGGCAGCGAGGGCAGATTTTTGGAGGTTTGTTGTTAGCTTTCTTAGGACAGTCCCTTTTTAAGTGGTTTTTATCTCCACATGTAAAGCATCCTTCATTTCCCTTTTTAAAGCAAGCAGCCATTGTCTCAGGTACCATTTGCATTTTTTTGAGTTTCTGAGCTTATATGGCGACAAGCCTTCAAATAATCAAAAATAATCCCTGTCTCACGAATTGGGGCTACAGCCTTTTGACATTCGTGATTTGTATTATCATAAACAGGTACTTTTTTTTTTAAGTTGTCTTATAGCTTTTTTTTTTTTTAAATTACAGTATGGGCTTAAGGGAGTCACTGCCAGAACCATTAGGTTCTGTCAAGGGAGAGACTTTGGGATTTGTGCCCGCTGGCAGGGGAGGAGTGCTTGGAGCAACCAGGGCAGGGTTAGTAGGAAAATTCTGAAATATCTTATGTTGTTCTAATTGGGCCTTTTGTAAGGTATCATCGTCTAATTCATATTCATGTAATAAGTGTTCTGCCTGTTGCCGAATATCAGGAGGGCTAGAATTATCTTGTAATGGCAGACTCACAGCTTCAAGGAGAGCCCATAGGGGCCAGAAATCTATCAGAATATTTTTTCCCTGTCTGACGGCTTCCCTGGGTTATGCAGCTGGCTTTCACGCTCCAGGGAATCAGCCAGAAATAGAGAGAGAGAGAAAGAAAGAAAGAAAGACACGGGGACCCAAGCTCTGATGGAGCAAAGGTGTTTTATTGAATTCTGTAAGGGTATATATACCAGTAGCTTCTTTAGATAAAGATTGAGAGACCAGGCTTTACAAGTTTACCAAGGAAGCAAGGAGCAATAGAGGCCATAAGGCCAAGAGGTGATCCATAACTAAAGAGGGTCGTAAATAACCCCTTTCACCAAATGGAAAAGCTAATGAAGGAAATCCTATGCAAGCATCCCATGTCTTTGATCTCCGCCCTGGGAGAGGCTTGCCTGCTCTCACCCCTGACAGGGACTGATAAGGAACAGAGGGCTCAAGAGAGATTAATCTCAAAAATATACAAGCAACTCCTGCAGCTCAATTCCAGAAAAATAAATGACCTAATCAAAAACTGGGTCAAAGAACTAAACAGACATTTCTCCAAAGAAGACATACAGATGGCTAACAAACACATGAAAATATGCTCAACATCACTCATTATCAGAGAAATGCAAATCAAAACCACAATGAGGTACCATTACACAACAGTCAGGATGGCTGCTATCCAAAAGTCTACAAGCAATAAATGCTGGAGAGGGTGTCGAGATAAGGGAACCCTCTTACACTGTTGGTGGGAATGCAAACTAGTACAGCCACTATGGAGAACAGTGTGGAGATTCCTTAAAAAACTAGAAATAGAACTGCCATATGACCCAGCAATCCCACTTCTGGGCATACACACCAAGGAAACCAGATCTGAAAGAGACATGTGCACCCCAGTGCACTGTTTATAATAGCCAGGACATGGAAGCAATCTAGATACCCATCAGCAGGCAAATGGATAAGGAAGCTGTGGTACATGTACACCATGGAATATTACTCAGCCATTAAAAAAATTCATTTGAATCCGTTCTAATGAGATGGATGAAACTGGAGCCCATTATACAGAGTGAAGTAAGCCAGAAAGATAAAGACCAATACAGTATATTAACACATACATATGGAATTTAGAAAGATGGTAATGATAACCCTATATGCAAAACAGAAAAAGAGGCACAGTTGTACAGAACAGACTTTGGACTCTGTGGGAGAAGGCGAGGGTGGGATGCTTTGAGAGAACAGCATCAAAACATGTATATTATCTAGGTGAAACAGATCACCAGCCCAGGTTGGATGCATGAGACAAGTGCTCGGGCCTGGTGCACTGGGAAGACCCAGAGGGATTGGGTGGAGAGGGAGGTGGGAGGGGGGACCGGGATGGGGAACACATGTAAATCCATGGCTGATTCATGTCAATGTATGGCAAAAACCACTACAATATTGTAAAGTAATTAGCCTCCAACTAATAAAAATAAATGAAAAAAGAAAAAAGAGAGATAGGAAACAGCACACAGAGTCTTACTGTTAAATGCTCCCTGACATCTGAGGACCTAAGTGAGAACCTCAGGTGAAACAAACAGCCCTCCTGGCTAGCCTAATTTACATAGGGCAGGCTCAGGGGGAGGTGAAAAAACATAAAAAGAGGAACCAAAATTGAGCCCTTCTCTTCTTTTGGGTTAGTCTGCCCTCACGCCTCATGGATGTATTTTCCTTTGCTTGCCAAATAAAACTGAGCTGTAATCAAGCCGTAACACTGGTCTGCTATTTCAATCCTTTGCTGCAGTGAGACAGAACCGAGAAATTACACACTCCCCCGATAAAACCAGAGTGACTTATAATTACATGATTACTCAACTTAATTAAAGACATTCTAAAATAGTACATTTAACAAAAGTGGGTTTATTTCCATGTAATGCTTGTTACATTTTTCTCGCCTCAGTTTTATTTAAAGCCAGGTCAATATCTTACTCTAAATCACTTTATCAGTAATGTATGCTCTTTAGATATAAAGTCCTTTTGGGAAACAAGCAACATTCAGTTATCTGTTGGCAATGCACTTCAAGGAAAGTTTTGAAATGTGGTAAACATAAACTTCAACCCCATGACCCCATACCAGGGTGGGGTGGGAGAGGGAAAATATACACAAAATCACAAAGACATTACAGTCAAGCACTTTAGAGCTAATATCCATTTCACCTTAAAATAACATTGCATATGGATTCAGGGAGAATTTCAAAATATTTGAAGATCAAAAGGAAAGAGTCAAAGACTGACAGGAATGTGGAACACATTAAATTAGCTAACAGGGTAGCTCTCATTCTTTATTTCCACTTCTAGCTATAGGGGGTAATCAAATACAAGTAAACTTACAGTTTAAAAGCCTTTGTGAAAATTCAAATTGTAACAGAAAATAAATTTAAGGGCTTGTTACTTCTAAGGGAATTCATTATGTAATATTTGTTAAATAGACATCTCTGTAGCACATTTTAAATATGATTCAACATTAAGGTAAATGCATATTCCAATAATTCTTTGCTTAAAGTTAACTCATGTGGGGTTCTATCATCAGAACTTATGGCACATTCTCATGAGTATAGTTTTCATGGCAAATTTAATCCTTTGAGAATTGTTTTTGGGGGCGGAATAGGCAAAAGTCTAGCTTCACGGCTGCTCTGTGAAAATTGATTAAATATGGTAATCAAAGAAGTCATATAACTTTTTAAAAATACACAGATTTTTAAAAATTTTTGGCCCCACTACGCAGCTTGTGGGATCTTAGTTCCCTGACCAGGGATTGAACCCAGGCCAGGCAATGAAAGCACTGAGTCTTAACCACTGGACCACCAGGGAATTCCCATATAATTTTCTATTTTTAAAAAAGCTTAAGCAATTTTATTATATGCCTGCTAAGTGAAATGCCCTTATATTTTGTACACATCAGTTTGACTGCATATGACTGCGTTTACAATTCCTTAAATACTCCATGCCAGTGTGTGTAAAGAATATTAGGCTAATTTCTAAGCTGACAGAAAAGTAGGTGATTACATTTGCACAATATGAACCTACACTCACTGTAGGCCAGAGTCAACAGAGCTCTATCGTAATGTAAGAAATGCAATGGAAAAAGAGTCCATCTGGTAATCTAGACCTGATAAGCCCAATTTTGGATCATAGGAAAATTCTATTTCCAAAAATAAAAGCCATTAGAAGTCAAGATTTAATTATAGCAGTATCCTTATTAAAAAGGAGTCAATTACTTGTGAATACTTGTGAACACTGTGAATACTTCTGCTACATAAAAGCTGTCTGGAATTACTAAAAAATATCTACTTTATTCATGAATATTGACCCACTGGATCAAAGTGTTACTCCCCAGTTTAGACTTTACAAATATTTCTGGTAGCTTGATCCAGGCAAGTGCCCCCTATTCTTTTCTTGTCCCCATCATAATCACTGCACCCTATTCTCTGAAACGTTCCAAAGAATGAGGAACCCCAAACTTTAAGGGTTCCTGAAAGCTGTTATTAGAGCAGCCAAAACTCTTTGCAAATGACTTTTCTGATGGGAACAATCATTTCTAACCTGTATGAAGAGGGTAATTCTCATTTAGGTGCCTAGAAAAGAGCAATATAGGTTGCTGGGTATATTAGTCAAGGTCTCTTGGGAAGACTGTTTTGTGGTTTATTCTTCTGAGCCCCTGAGTCATCCCATATTATTGATGTACCTGTACTGTGATTAGCAATGTAACCAATAAAAATGTTTTTAAATACAACATGTAGAGCCATCAACTCCAAAATCCCTTGGGTCATGACAATACCATCTCAGTTATAAGTCTTCCCCAAAGTGGAGCTGGTCTATTCATAGTTTTACTTAGTTTCGAAGAGCAGAAAGCCTGCAAAGGTGGAGAAGCGCTGGTGGTCCCCGTGAAGAGCACCATTGCCCATTCTCAGCCACACCTCATCCCCTTTGGCCAGCTTCAGCACTGCATGGTTGCTGGATGTATCTGATTTCCCCTTTGTTTCATAGCTAGAAGGAAAAAGAAAGAGCACCAACTACTTAGTCTCTGAAGAGAATAGTCAGCTCTTAACCAAAATCTATCCCCCTTCTCTCCCAGAATCCCATACATTTAGGTATGCTGCTGCTGCTGCTGCTAAGTCACTTCAGTCATGTTCGACTCTGTGTGATCCCATAGACGGCAGCCCACCAGGCTCCCCCATCCCTGGGATTCTCGGTATAATCTGGATTAAATTCTCTAAATGACACATGAGCAGAAATTATATGTGCCACTTATAGAACTGGCCAGTAAAACTCCCACAAACAATCCCCCTTGATCTTTCCTCATTACGACTGTGTGGAATGCTAATGACAATGGCAAGAATGAACTTGGAAACCTTTTGAAGCCTGAGTGCTTGAAGATTGTGGCATGAAAAGCAAAGGAATTTCTGTCCTGTCCAAGCCCTTAGGTCAATGTTAGAGCAGTTCAATCCACCTGAACTAACTCTAGAATCTGTATCTAAAGAAGGGTGCTGCTCATGATCAGGGATGGAACAATGAGGAAATAGATATTGTGGGCTTCAAAGCCGGAGATCCCTGTCATGTTAGAGAAAACCACTCGGGAAAATGTGGTAACTTGGAATAGAATGTCTGATGCATAAAAATGTACTATAAGCTTGTGTTCTTTCCACCTTCTGACTGTGGCAATGATAATGACCGGTGAAAATTTGGGGGTCAGTTTTACAGATGGCAGAAAAGCTTTTATCAGCCCACATCCCTTAGAAACCTGTTGGAGCAATCCTCCATCCAACTTCCACACATTCCCCTCCTCTCTTTCTACCCCGTCCTTCCCCAACCTGGAACCAGCCAAGAAAAATGGAATTCTAATATGTTCAAGCCACAATCTTCTAGATCTCTTTGTTGTAGCAGTTTCACCTATCTAACTCATCTTTTCTCTTTTGGCTTTTCAAGTACACCATCTTACTAGAGGCCAGGTTCCAAGAGAAAAAAAAAAAAAAAAAAGATGGCAATCCCCACAAATCATCAAAAATTTTTTATAAAAGATAGCAAACACAAAGTTTTTCACAGTTTCTCAACACCCATTTATTTAATTATGGGAAAGGTGTTGGCTCTCTGCCTCTTCTCTAAATCTCAAGCTTACATCAGAGCAAACTGCATTTTTTCTTTTTTATATGGACTTTTTCCAAGGATCCTTAGGGCCAGGTTGCAAAGATAACCATCAGAGTTGCAGCATAGCCTAAAGAGTCAAACTGGTTCCTATCTCTTAATCTGCCAGCTCCAGGGATGATAGAGAAGGCCATCAAGAGAGCTAAGTCTAGGCAAAGGGAGCAGAGAGGAGGAAAGGAGAAGGAAAGCCTGAGCGAGAAGGAAAGAAAGAATTAAGAAAAGAATGCAAATAATTAGTTATGATGAGCATTGCTAGTAATTAATACAAGACCTCTTATCAACCTGCATATGCTCAAGTTTATCAGATTCACTGCCCCACAAAGAATAACGAGAATCTGATCATATACTGGTATATGGGAGCTCTGGATGACAACAAAGTCTGTGCCGGTCTCTGTTGAATCCTATTCACATCCTGGCATCGGCCATCCTTTGAGCAAACAATGGCAGCATGGATACCTACAGCAGGAAAGACCACTTACCTGTACATGCTGAAGACCGTGTTGCCATTGTGCATGAGGTATACATACACTTCCTCAACATCCTCATGCTTCATCATGCTGAAGGTGAAGAAGTACACCCCTGAAAGGTAGATATGAATCCACATTTATGTTAACTATTGAACACTGAGGACTGGGAGATAGGAAGGAGATATATCACAGGACTTCACATCTCATTTGTTGCTATTCTAAGTGGTATGTAGGTTCTTTTTTGTTTGTTTGTTTGTTTTGTTGAAAGTGTAAATGTTACTTGCTAAGTCCTGTCCGACTCTTTGCAACCACATGGACTGTAGCTCACCAGGCTCCTCTGTCAGTGGAATTCTCCAGGCCATTCCCTTCTCCAGGGAATCTTCCCTTCCCAGCAATAGAAACTGGGTCTCTTGTATTGAAAGCAGATTCTTTACCATCTGAGCCATCAGGGAAGCCCGGTCGTGTGTGTGTGTGTGTGTGTGTGTGTGTGTGTGTGTGTGTGTTTTGGGGGGGCTGTCCTTGGTCTTAGTTACAGCACTCAGGATCTTCAGTCTTCATTGCGGCATGTGAGATCTTTAGTTTCAGCATGAGAACTCTTAGTTCTGCCATGCGGGATCTGGTTCCCTGACCAGGGATTGGATCCCGGGTCCCTGAACTGGGAGCACAGAGTCTTAGCCACTGGAGCACTGGAGAATTCCTGATATGTAGGTTCTTCTTGGCCTTTATTCCTACGAGAATCCATTTATCTGCTTACACCTTCAAACTGCTTTAAATTTTTATGAGACTTTCTCAGTGCATAGAATAAGGTATAAAAGCCTATCCCCTAGGTTTAGAGTAACCATCAGCAGCACCTTCCTCAGAACATATATAGACGCAGTAGAAAGCCCAGCATGGAGGCACCCGTGGCCTTCTGTGGCCTGACAAAATGACCCAAGGACAACACTGCCATTAACCAAAGATAAGGAAGTTATATAGCACAGAGAAATGTTCATCACTTCTAATGGCTGCAGCAATTTCTCATGTTATTCACTGTAAGTAGGTGAAATTAGGTACAATAAATAGATTGAACTTTCACTGAGCAGCCTGACCTTGCTACAAAGAATAAGAACCCTTTTCATTTAAAAAAGACCAACACACTTTAAAATATGTTAGTTTTCTTGTAAGGGCCTAGGGTTACTAATTGAAGGCAACTTAGTATACCTGATTCACTTTAAATACCAGTTTAGAAAATACTTTTCCTGAAAGATTAAGAGGAATCCAATAGTAGAGAGATGAATGAAAAGGAAAATCTTCCCAACTTCAAATGATCTTGGTTTTGAGAGTGCATTTTAGAAAGATGAAAGAACATAAAGCATCACATTCTTACTGATTTCCATGTTACATGTTTAAACTAATGGCCTTGCCTTAATGCATTTGAGCTGCTATAACAAAACACAACAGACTGCTCATGCTCAGTTGCTCAGACTTGTCTGACTCTGCGACCCCATGGACTGTAGCCTGCCAGGGTCCTCTGTCCATGGGATTTCCCAGGCAAGAATATTGGAGTGGGTTGCCATTTCTTCCTCCAAAGGGTCTTCCCAACCCAAGGATTGAAACCAGGTCTCTTGCATCTCCGGCATTGGCAGGCAGATTCTGCCACTGCACCACTTGGGAAGCCCCAAACAGACTGAGTAGTTTAGAAATAGCAATAAATTTATTCCTCACAGCTCTGGAGGCTGGAATCCCAAGGCAGGTGAGGGCCCTCTTATAGGTCACTGAGTTCTGGCTGTGTCCTCTCATAGCAGAATGGGTTAGGGAGCTCTGTGGGGTCCCTTCTCTGGGGGCACTAATTCGATTAAAAAGAGTTCATTGTGATACCTAATACAATCACCTTGGGCATCAGGTTTTCATTGTGTGTGAGTTTTGGGGGAACACAGTCAATTCACAGTATACTTTGTGAAAGAAAAGCCCAGAAACATCTAGAAGGGAAAAAAAAAAAAAAAGCACCACACAGTTCTATGCTGTTTTCCAAAGGTGCAATCAAGTAAAAGAGAAGCTATAAGGCTACCATGTTGATCCCTCTGCCTCTGAGTCAAGTTGAACCACATACAGAGGTGTCAGTTCAGTTCAGTTCAGTCGCTCAGTCATGTCTGACTCTTTGTGATCCCATGGACTGCAGCACACCAGGCCTCCCTGTCCATCACCAACTTCCAGAGTTTACCCAAACTCATGTCCATTGAGATGTATGATTTTGCTTAATTTAGAGCCAAGCTTGCATTTTCAATGTGCTGAGAATAAAGGATACAGTACAAAAATAAGCCATGCCCATTCATATGCCTAAAGATGGATCTACAGATGAAACATAAAGGCAGATAGAAATCAAAGACTCAAATAAAGTAATTTCTATGTGTGCAGTTTTTTGCATTTTACAAAACTTCTTATTACTTACACACACAATTTTCAATGCCTCAAGAAGATAAAGTAGAAATCAAAATGACAGAAAAAAAAATATTACTTTTCCTGAAAAAAGAAAAATGATGACTGCTATTAAGAAAATAGATGTAGAGGTATTTTAGAAACACTAAGAAAGCAGATGGTGAATAAATGAAATGATTAGAATTGGAAATATAAAAGTGCATCTATATTACATCCACACATGGCTTTTCTCTGCAAGGGAACATACTGAAACCAGAGACAATATATTTTCACTCTGGTTTTCACATCTTCATGTGAAATTCAACTTTCTCTGTCCCATAACTCTCAAATGGTCATTTTATAATCAACTTGAAGTTTAAACAGTAAAGTGGGAGTCTAATGATGGTTGTTATTGTCCAAATTATGTCCAGCCCAAGAAAATTCTAAAAACCAACTAAATCCTTGAGCTTCAATTATAAAATCATTGAAAGCAATGGAACCACTCATTGGGCATATCTAGGAGTGCTTAACAGAACAGTTATAGGAAAATTTAACACAAATCTTCAGAACAGAAAATCACATAAGACAGTTTAAAGCTGACTGAAGGGTGATAAAAGATTGCTTCTCACTTCATATGTCAGTTCATTTCTGATTTCAGCTGGGTAGAAAAATAAATCAAGGCACACATTAAAAGTATTTGTGACAAATCTAACATGGCCACTGCCTCCATCAGAATTTTCTTCTTTTCTTTCTCAATGCCATAGACAGAGACAAGGAAAGTTGAAAACAAGCACCAAAAATATCCATTCTCTGCGAAACTAGGAGACTGGAAAGAAAATCAATCAACTTAAAGTATCAGTTAAGTGCTGTCATATGTCAGCGATAGCAGGCAGAGTCACGGGGAGGCAACAGGGAGGCTGGGCAGGGAATTTTGAGGAGGCCAAGTGGCAGCAGATCTCAAATAATTCCCAGGAAAGTGCCCTCCCCCCACCCCCAACACAGAAGTGTCACTCTGAAGTACTGATGCTGAAAAGGAGCCGCCTCAAGCAGAGCTGAGATAAAGCCAAAGTTAAGTTTGGGAGGAAGTTTGCTAGATAAAGTACAGAAAGTGTGAAAAGTCCTTCTGCAGTGGTGGATCCTGGAATCTGCCAGCAAATAAGAGGCAAAGGAACTGGCAAGTGCAAGGCTGGTCTCATGTTTTTCTAGACCTGGTGTAGCCTGGGAAGGCAGAGAAGTGTGGCCGCACAGAGAAAACACACAGAGCAGCTGTAGTTAAAAGAAATGGAGAGTGCTCACTTCAGCAGCACACATATTAAAATTGGAAAAATACAGAGAAGATTAACATGGACCCTGCGCAAAGATGACATACACATTTATGAAGCATTTTATATTAAAAAAGAGAGAGAGAGAGAGAGAGATGAGGAGTCCCCTGGCAGCAAGGGATGAACCACTGAGTTACCAAGCCTGGAAGCAGGCTGGGGTCCCTCCCCTTCTTCAAGAAACTACGGCATAGTGCTGATCCAGGAAATCCATCAACCATCAGTTAATTTTAGAAAGTAGAAAAGAACAAAAATTATCAACAGATAAAGAATACTCAACAAGAAGAAATGTTGTCATGTGGGAGATGAAAAATAAAACCAAAGATTCCATCATGGGTCTAAAAGTATATTAATGAAGCAAATCCCTCTACAAAAGGACATTGTAAAACAGAACATGGAAACCCATGGTAGAAATGATCAGACAAGAGGCAGAACTGAACACCAGGATGACATGACTAATGTAAAACACAGAAAAGGTTAAAATAGTACCACAGAAACAAGCAGAAGAGAGAAGGAACTGGTAGAAGCAAAAGGAGAATTAATCCTAGGAAGAAGCAATTAAGCATATGCAGGATGTGTGTGTTGGCCGCTCAGTCGTGTCTGACTCTGCAACCCCATGGACTGTAGCCCATTCGGCTCCTCTATCCATGGGATTCTCCAGGCAAGAATACTGGAGTCGGTTGCCAGGACCTTCTCCAAGGGATCTTCCCAACCCAGAGATGGAACTTGCATCTCTTGTGTCTCCTGCATTGGAAGATGGGTTCTTTACCACTAGTGCCACCAAAGGAAAAAAGCAAACATGAAATGGAAGTAAAGAACACCAAAAAATTAGAGAAAATAATACATGTAGAAAACAGACTAAGGAAAGTTAAAAACAAAACAAAAGACTGTATGACAATTCAGTTTATATATTTCAGAGCTCTAGGGATGGAAAATCTATCAGTCATTTTCAGGGGTTGTAGTTCACAGGAGTTGACTACAAAGAGATAGCACAAGGGAATTTGGGAGATGAAAGCTTGTTCTGTTTGAAACTATAGTGATGGAGACATACCTATCTGCACTTTTCAAAACCCGTAGAACTGTACATCACAAAGAATACATTTTCCTGCATGTGGAATTTTAAAAGCTCAAGTAGAATATCAGAGAATCTCAAGATAAGATTATGACAAATGAACCTAACTGTATTATAAAATCAATGAAGTAACATAACTAAAGGGCATGAGGAAAAAAGACAACCGGTTTTAAAGGCTTTCCAGGTGGCTCAGCTCTGCCTGCTAATGCAGGAGATGTGGGTTTCATCCCTAAGTCAGGAAGATCCCCTAGAGAAGGAAATGGCAACCCACTCCAGTATTCTTGCCTGGGAAATCCCATGGACAGAGGAGCCTGGTAGGCTACAGTCCATGGGGCTGCAAAAGAGTTGGGGAGACAACTTAGCCACTAAACAACAACAGCAAGGGTTTTAAAGATGGCATTTTGACTAGATACCATAAAAAGAAAAAAAAATGTGCAAAAACATTACATCTTAGTTGGTAAATTTGTTTTTCAAGGGACATGGGTGTGCAATTGTTTAACTACTTTACTTGTATACTAAGGTTTAATAAATAAGTTAATATGTTACAGATTAAGAGAGTTAGGGTTCTCCTTGTCAAAGAAAAAGTTACAAAGAAACAAAGAGGCTGCTAGGACAAACCCAGGGGTGCTGGATTTGAGTCAGAGGTATCAGAATTAACTCATGTTTCTTTTTGTTTTTTAACACACAAGATAGGTAGATAGAAAAATAAATATAGTTATGCATGCACTCATGATTAGTATATATGTATATTTCCTAGCCCTGCCCGTGGATAGGACCCAGAAGTAGTGACATCTTCAGAGCAATGAGTATGTTTAGCATGGGTCTTTGTTTCTAAATACTGCTTCTGCTGCTGCTGCCGCCGCCAAGTCACTTCAGTCGTGTCCGACTCTGTGCGATGCCATAGACTAGACGGCAGCCCACCAGACTCTGCCATCCCTGGGATTCTCCAGGCAAGAACACTGGAGTGGGTTGTTCTAAATACTACTCCCCAATAAAAGGAACCAGGGCTCCTTGGAAAAATGAATATTGCCAGAGCTGGGACAGAAGAAAATGGAATATGAGCTTGAAGCAACTTATGGCACCAGAACTAAGAATGTTGTGGGGGACTGAATAACAGCTTCCACGTATGCTCATGTCTGGGCTTCCCAGGTGGTACGAGCGATAAAGAATCTGCCTGCCCATGCAGAAGGTAGATATAAGAGACCTGGTCGGGAAGATCTGCTGGAGGAGGGCATGGCAACCCACTCCTGTATTCTTGCCTGGGAAATCCCATGGACAGAGGAGTTTGGCGGCCTATGGTTCATGGGTTCGAAAAGAGTTGGAACAACTGAAGAGACTTAGCATGCACGCATCCATACTCACGTCCTAAAATCCCCAGGATCTGTGACTGTTGCCTTACATGGCAAAAGAGATTTTGCGGGTGTAATTAAATTCAAGGTTTTATGATGGGGAGCTCATCCTGGATTGTCCAGGTAGGCCCAAGGTAATCACACCATCTCTATGAAAGAGCCAAGGAGGTCAGAATCTGAGAAGACAAAGTGACATGACAACGGAAGCAGAGCCTGAGATGTTGTGGCCAACACACAGGGGCTGGTGTCAGCCTCTGGAAGCTGGAAGAGGCAAGGCGCTAGAGCCTCCAGAGGAGCCCGCACTGTCTACACCTTGACTTTAGCCCAGTTGAACTGATTCTGAACTACCAATCTCCAGAACTGTAAGAGAATCATTTTGTGTTGTTTTAAACATAGATTGTGGTAATTTGTTACAGCAGCAATAGGAATTGAGTACAAAAGTACTCAAAAAATTTTTTAATGTTTTTAAACAATGATGTGACCTTCCTTGGGGGTCAAGGCGAAGGGATGAACACAGTTATGACATGTTTAAATTGCCATGAACTCAGTTATGATACATTTAAATTGTGAGAATATAATCTAAAGGGTTTTTCAAGTCAGAGATAACTGTGCCCTCTTATTGAACTCTCAGTTCAAATGAGAGTTAAGAATGTAAGTAAATATGGTCATCATTTTTAAAAAATGTTTTTGTCTTTTCAGATTCTAATTTATTTATTTTGAAATCCAACAGGGAAAAATTACAATTTTATATATATATATATATATATAGCATATATACACATATATGTATATGTATTTACACACACATATACATATATGTATGTGTGAAAGTGAAAGTGTTAGTTTCTTAGTAACGTCCAACTGTTTGCGACCCCATGAACTATAGCCTGCCAGGCTACTCTATCCATGCAGTTCACCAGGCAAGAATACTAGAGTGAGTTGCCATGCCCTCCTCCAGGGGATCTTCCTGACCCAGGGATCAAACCCACATCTCCTATGTCTCCTGCATTGGCAGGCAGGTTCTTTACCATTAGTGCCACGTGGGAAACCAGGAACTGAAGATTAACTGTACCTACAACAATCAAGATGATGTTAGTCAGATGACTAAAGATGACTGTCAGCTGACTGTGCTGTTTCTGCAGGTAAACTCCTCCATCTGTATATAAAAGCTCTTGCCTCACTGGTTGCCTGGGGGGGTGGGGGGGATGGGCAGTTGCTGGCATCTGAAATAAAGCTAACTTTCCTTTCCACCCCTGGCCTGTTTATCGGCGGCAAGCAGCCAGACTCCCCCACTCCCCACCCCCACCCTTTCGGTAACAGGTTGACATTTCATTCTCCAGAGGATCTTCCTGACCTAGGGATCAAATCTGAGTCTCCTGCATGGCAGGCAGATTCTTTATTGTCTAAGCCCCATGTATGTGTATATATGTGTATATTTATGTGTGTGCGTGTATGTATGTGTATACACCTGTGTGTGTGTGTGTGTATGTGTTTTATATATATATATATGTATGTTTTAACCAGAATCACAGAGAACTCAACTCCTTTTATGTTTTTCTTTGTTCCCTCTCCCTTCCTTCCCCTCCTCCCTCTCTTCCTTCCTTCCTTCCCCTTATTGGTTGCTAGATTGATTAATCCATTCATTTATTTTTACCTCTCACCTGATACTGGGGCCCCAAATCTCCCGGTCATGACATCAAAGAAGTTTCCGATGTTGGTTTCAACACTGCTGAAAATGATCCCACTGTTCTGATTGGTGAAGTGAGTTGCCAGGGAAGCCATGAACGCAATCTAAGGAAAGAGTTAGAGTTTAACTAAAAGGCAATTTATCTTAGAGAAACAAGGTTTCAGGACAAGTATTATTTCAACAATATTTGTAACAGCAAGAGTGGGAATAATATGAACATTAATCTATGGAGAAAAATTGAATAATGGTTATTTTTAACATTTTAATGCTATGCAGCCACTGGAATGACAGTATATATCAATAGTTGTGAGCATGGGTTTCAGTGAACATTAAAAAGGCTTTTTGAGATATTAAAATTCTATTAGCAAATAATACTGGAAAATTTTGACAAAATCTTCTATGTACAGTTATTAAATGCCCATTGGCATATACTAAAGAATTTGAAAAGTCCTTCAGCCAAACAACTTTTTAATTTTGTTTACCCTGTGTTTTTTCCATAAAAGACACCTATGACATTATGATTTATGATAAGTAGATATTTAATATTTGTCCCTCAGTTTTGACAGAGACCTCCTAAAATCCTCAGAATTTCCTAAGTGTTAAGGACAATCAAGGTGTATCTTGTGATGTTAATGAGATAACTTTGGAAAAGCCCCTCAGGAGGATCTGGTTGCCTGTATTGCCGACTGAAAGTTTTGAACTCTCAGAGCTTCTTGATGAAAGAGGAAGAGGAGAGTGAAAAAGCTGGCTCAAAGCTCAGCATTCAGAAAACTAAGATCAGGGCATCTAGTCCCATCACTTCATGGCAAATAGATGGGGAAACAGTGGAAACAGTGAGAGACTGTTTTCTTGGGCTCCAAAATCACTGCAGATGGTGACTGCAGCCATGAAATTAAAAGACACTTGCTCCTTGGAAGAAAAGTTATGACAAACCTAGACAGCATATTAAAAAGCAGAGATTACTTTGCCAACAAAGGTCCGTCTAGTCAAAGCTATGGTTTTTCCAGTAGCCATGTATGGATGTGAGAGTTGGACTACAAAGAAAGCTGAGAGCCGGAGAATTGATGCTTTTGAACTGTGGTGTTGGAGAAGACTCTTGAGAGTCCCTTGGACTGCAAGGAGATCCAAGCAGTCCATCCTAAAGGAGATCAGTCCTGGGTGTTCATTGGAAGGACTGATGCTGAAGCTGAAACTCCAATACTTTGGCTACCTCGTGCGAACTGTTGACTCATTGGAAAAGACCCTAATGCCGGGAGGGATTGGAGGCAGGAGGAGAAGGGGACGACAGAGTATAAGATGGTTGGATGGTATCACCACCTCAATGGACATGAGTTTGAGTAAGCTCTGGGAGTTGGTGATAGACAGGGAAGCCTGGAGTGCTACAGTCCTTGGGGTCACAAAAAGTTGGACATGACTGAGCGACTGAACTGAACTGAACTGATATGGAATTTAGAAAGATGGTAACGATAACCCTATGTGCAAAACAGAAAAAGAGACTCCGATGTATAGAACAGACTTGTGGACTCTGGGAGAAGGCGAGGGTGGGATGTTTCAAGAGAACAGCATCGAAACACGTGTATTATCTAGGGTGAAACAGATCACCAGCCCAGGTTGGGTGCATGAGACAAGTGCTCGGGCCTGGTGCACTGGGAAGACCCAGAGGGATTGGGTGGAGAGGGAGGTGGGAGGGGGGACCGGGATGGGGAATACATGTAAATCCATGGCTAATTCATTTCAATGTATGACAAAAACCACTACAATGATGTAAAGTAATTAGCCTCCAACTAATAAAAATAAATGGGAAAAAAAAAAAAAAGAACTGAACTGAACTGAGCTGTGCCTCCCATCCCCCATACCTCCCCCCTCCCAACTCTTCCCCCACAGATCTCTGCGGAGAAGACAGGGCCTGGACAGAGAATCCAGTAGCTAGTGATTTAATCACTTATGCCTGAATAATGAAGCCTTCATAAAAACCCAAAAGCCAAGTTTGGGAGAGTTTCCAGGTTGGTGAACACATGGAGATTCGGGGAGAGTGCCTCTCAGCCCCCTTTCTCCATACCTTGCCTTATTCATCTCTTCCATCTGGCTGCTCTTCAGTTATATCCTTTTATAATAAATTGGTGAGAAAATAAGTAAAATGTTTCTCTGAGTTCTTCTGTGAGCCTCTTTGGTACATTAATCAAATCCAATGAGGGGGTCATTTGGAACCTTTGATCTATAGCCAGGCAGAAGCACAGGTGACAACCTGAACTTGGACTGGTGCCTAAAGTAGGGGAAGGGTGGAGCAGTCTCAAAGGGCTGAGCTCTTAAGGGTTAGAATTGAGCTGAACTGTAAGATGTTGGCTTCCCAGGTGGCATGCTAGTAGTAAAGCATCCACCTGCCAATGCAGGAGACGTGGGTTCAATCCCTAAGTTGGGAAGATCCCCTGCAGAATGGAATGGCAACCCACTCCAGTATTCTTGCCTGGAGAATCCCATGGACAGAGGAGCCTGGCGGGCTACAGTCCATGGTGTCACAAAGAGTCGGACACGACTGAATGACTTAGCACACCCACGCACATAGGACCTCTAGGTGGTATCGGAGAATTGCTCAGTGATATGGGAATAACCCACACATGGATATTGTAACACTACTGGACAGTCACATTTGAAAGTCAAAACCAATTCCCTGTCCAAAGGAGACATTGAAACTGAGTGTGAATTAAATCAATAACTTTTTTTTTTTAATTATTATTTCTTGGCTGTGATGGTTCTTCATTGCTGTTCTTTTCTCTAGTTCTAAGGATTGGGGTATACTCTCCAGTGTGGTGCATGAGCTTCACATCACAATGTCTTCTCTTGTTGCAGAACATGGACTCATGGGTGCACAGGCTTCAGTAGTTGCAAAAGGGGGCTTGGTAGTTGCAGTGTGGGCTCTACATTGCTGGCTCAGTAGTTGTGGAACACAGGTTTAGTTACTCCATCATATGTAGGATCTTCCCAGGCCAGGGATCGAACCTTGGTCTCCTGCACTGGCAGGCAGATTCTTTATCACTGAGCCACCAAAGAAACCCCTAGATCAGTAAGTTCTTTAATTTGGGGGATTATCTTCTTGAATGAATGGAAGTTTTAAGAGAGAAGAATGAGAGAAGAAAGAGCAAATAACGTGAAGTTCTGGAAGACTTCGGGTAGACTGGGAAGCCAGGCCTGGGAGAATTAACACAGAAAGGATTTGGGCAGTCAGAAGGACCACATGAGGGCACTGGATGCAGAAGGATGAAGAAGGGGTGACATCAGACAAAAAATTTAGGAATGGGGATCAAGGGCCAGAAGTTACCCTTCTTTACAATCTGCCTAAGACCAATCTTCTATCCTCTTTAAGGATTCCTTCAAAATGTGTGAATGTAGTTCTCCCAAATGATCATATTATGGTTTTAGGGTTAAGAAGCCGACAGAGCAAAGGTAACAGCTGCCAAGGTGTTCTCCCTTAAACTGGCTACTACAGGGCCCTTTAACTAGAATATAACCATTTATAGATTTGGGTTAATTTCTAATCTTGAGAATGTTTATTATTAATCTTATTAGGTACCTATAACCTGGACAGGGAAGCGTGGTGTGCAGCAGTCCATGGGGTCACAAAGAATTGGATACAACTGAGCAACCCAATAGCAACAACAATAACCTGGGCAACTGTATCTGTCTCCTTTTCTTTCTAAATTTATACCAGCACACAGACCCCAGGTTATTAAAATTATTAAACAGCATTCATTAAAAAGTTACGAAAATACAAACACAGGACCTCTTAGTTTACCCTTTAAAAAAACCTGAGACCCAGAAAAATGATGGAATTTATCCAAGGGCAATCAACTACCACATGTGCTCAAATAAGGGGCAGTTTTTCCCCCATTGATCTTTCAGATAGAGTTACTGTACTTTCTAGTTCTTTAAAAGTTTCTCATGTTATAGTATTGTTCATGGAAACATTAATAATCTATGAAAGAAACTGGAAAGTTTTATTAGAGCCAACCTGAGGATTCTAACCCAGGAGACAGTCTTTCAGAAAGCCCTAAGGACTGTTGTAAAGAAGTAATGGGGTTGGGGGAGAAACCAGTGTGTATGTGGTTTTGGTGAAGGGGTACATGCCATCAAGCACACATCTCAGTAGAATGTGACTGCTATTCTCGAGGACCAGACGTCTTAGTCACTGGTTTCAGTGCTTTTCTAAGTGTGGGAAGATGCAGGAAACTGGGTCCATAAGATTCTCTCCTGAACATGGAAGCAACCTAGATGCGCATCAGCAGACGAATGTATAAGGAAGCTGTGGTTCATATACACCATGGAATATTACTCAGCCATTAAAAAGAATTCATTTGAATCAGTTCTAATGAGATGGATGAAACTGGAGCCCATTATATAGAGTGAAGTAAGCCAGAAAGATAAAGACCAATACAGTATACTAACACATATATATGGAATTTAGAAAGATGGTAACGATAACCCTATATGCAAAACAGAAAAAGAGACACAGATGTACAGAACAGATTTTTGGACTCTGTGGGAGAAGGCGAGGGTGGGCTGTTTTGAGAGAACAGCATTGAAACGTGTATATTATCTAGGGTGAAACAGATCACCAGCCCAGGCTGGATGCATGAGACAAATGCTCGGGCCTGGTGCACTGGGAAGACCCAGAGGGATCGGGTGGAGAAGGAGGTGGGAGGGGGGATCGGGATGGGGAACACATGTAAATCCATGGCTGATTCATGTCAATGTATGACAAAACCCACTACAATATTGTAAAGTAATTAGCCTCCAACTAATAAAAAAAAAATTAAAAGTAAAAATAAAAAGATTCTCTCCTGAAAAGGTTTAACTGTCTGAGGGCCAATTCTGCCAGTTTTCCCAGAGCACAAAGTACTTAATCCTGATTGTCACCTTAAATTCCTTTCAGGGTATATTGTAGGTCAGCGATTGCAGTCGCTAACGACTTGGTTCTTATAGAACTGGCTGGTGGGCAACACTCTTTATTTTATAATCGTTTCCCTTTTGCCCTTAATTTCAACCAAGGTTTGGGATGCATTTTGTGACCAACTCTCCCATTGCCCTAGGGATGCTCATTCCAAGGCCAAGCCAAGGTTTTCTTGATAAGACACTCCATGTCCTGTTACTGAACGAGGCCCACTTAACAGTAGCCAATAGCCTCTGGACCACCTGCCTTACTAGTCTGTAATGGTCCAGGAAATGGTTCCTCCTTGTTGCTTCTTCCAGTGTCTATTACAGTCATTGATCTTACAGAACTGTTTATTTGGTCAATTGTTTCAAGTTCCCTAGTCATCACTAAATTTATCAGAGACTCAGTCACACACTGGTAATGCAAGAAACAATAATTTTGTAAAATAGGTGGAATACAAGTAATATAGCTAGTAACATTAATAAGGTTGTAAATAAGTAGTAGTATCTTCTAAGGAATTACATGTCTGCTGTCAAAAGAAGAGAAATTGAGCTTTATGGTCGAGTAGGTATTTCTGCCAGTGGTGAGGTCTGGTTAATGCATAATGCAGATGTACAATGCACAGTAAAGGGGAGAGAGGAGGCCCAAATGGGCAGAGAAAATATTATGTATAAACTTTCCTTGACTTGCTTTAAAATATAAATTTTATTTCATCAGTATATTCTTTCAGTTACTTAATTTTAATCACAAGTTATTATTTCAGGAAGACATTTCAGCCAGAAACAAGCAATATAAAATGCTAGTTTTCAATGTTGATAGGTGTTTCTTGGAAAAGTCCATTTTAAAAATATTAACCAAATAAATAAATAAACAACTCAGACTTAGTAATTTTCTTGGTGTGACCTAACCTCACATTTGCAAGTTTTAAGTGTTACTGACAACAAGCATTTCAGAAGATCACTTAAAAGAGAAATAACAGATAAATGGGTAGTTGGGCTTGAGATTAAAATGTCCAATGATAGCCTCATAAATGAATTTTTAAAACTTTAAGCTGAAGTGAATATGGTCTGGTCTGGAAATCTGTAGGTGAATGGCTCAGAATGTCTTTAGTGATAAAGAAGATAGTGATGAGAAAATTTAAATAAAAATTAATGCCACAAAAACTGATTTGATAGAAAGCAGTATTTGTACATTAATGTCTATCTGTGTGACCTAAACATGCAAATGCAACAAAATTGATAAATAAGTGGGATGGTCAAATGTCTAATAATATTTCATGCATCTAAAAGTTTATATATTCAAGTTGCCAAAAATCTTTTTATTGCACATACCTTTCCATTTGGAAAATGGAAATTAGCTGATGTTCAGGGTTACTCTGTATTTGGTCTAAAGAGGGTGCTGAATTTCACCCTTCACACATTTTTCTTCTCCCTAAGAATGATTTCAAAACACTTTGACTGCATCAGTCTTAGGCAAATATCCCATGGTGAAAAAAATTTAGACAAACATATTGAGACAGGGTTTGTTTACTCAACACTGAGGATAAAAAAACACTCAAGCCTTCTGACTCCTGGACCCTAAGGGTCATCTGGAGACGTGCCAAGATTGTTTACCTGCAGTTCAGGTGGAATCCCCGGGTAGCCCTTCTCTCCTTTGGGGCCATGCTGCCCACGCTCCCCTCGTGGTCCCAGGTCACCTTTGTCTCCTTTCTCACCTTTGGCCCCTTCGTGGCCAGTGGCTCCATTATTGCCATTGTTCCCATGGTTTCCTTAAACAACCAGACATCATCACATGAGAAAGCCTAGTCACTCATACTCACTATTTCTATAGAAACATAGATCCTTTCTTCAAAAATACAGATTCAAAGGCATAAGGGGACCATTTGAAACAAGCCTAAACACAGCCATGAGGTCATCATGGAATAGGATCTCTCTTAAATGGAACAATGAAAACAGACTTAGATACTCTTAAGTCTCTAGATTCTAAAGCCTATTTTTCCTGTAAAGCAAGACTTGGAAGAATAGTTGCATAGAAGACTGATTATCAAAGGATCCTTTATAATAGCAAAGATTAGAAGCTACCTAAATGTCCATCAGTATTGAAAGGGTAAAATTTTTAAATGGCAGAGAATTCCCTGGTGGTCTAGTGGTTAAAACTCTGTATTTTCACTGCAGGGGGCATGAGTTCTATCCCTGATCAGGGAACTATAATCCTGCAAGCTGCATGGCACAGCCAAAATAATAATAATAATAAAGGATTTGTAGACAGAATTGTTTTTAAATGGTATATATATATCCCAGTAAATAATGTTATATAGTCACAAAAAAATAATGATGAAGAAAAATATTTAATAACATATGTTTTAGATAAAAGAGGCTAAGAATCAATAGGGTTCGCATGATACTACATGTATGTATGTATATTACATATACATGTATATATGTATATGTGTGTATATATATATGCTTTATCCAAAGAGGAAAAAGATTATAACATATTACATAAAAATATTTTACAGTGGTTCATTTTGCCTGGGAAATCCCATGGACAGAGGAGCCTGGCAGGCTACAGTCCATGGGGTCACAAAGAGTTGTACATGACTTAGTGACAAAACAATAGGAATCTTTTTTCTAAGTGGATGGAACACAAGTGATTTTTGTATGATCCTATATAATTTTCTGCATTTTAAAAAATTTCTGCAAGAACATGTACCACTTTTATAACTGAAGGAAAAGTAAAATCATTGTTAAAAATTATAACAATAATCTTGAAAGCAAGATTTGGATAATGATTTCAGCTCTTTACTCAGAGAGAATTTCTACACCTCTCCCTTTATTTTTGCACTTGTTGAATTCCAGGCCCTTCTGTCATTTATTTTGTGTGCCACCTTTGGTCAGATTTCATAACAAGCTTGCAATTCTTCCATACTGATAAACTGACTGTATTTGCAGGTTAATGTGCTGATGACAAAACTCTTCCTGATGGGAAACATGGAATCAAAGCCAGTCCATCCTGTGGCCCCATAAGAGTGTAGACCTAAGAATATTTTAGGAGGGTCTGAATGTTCCCTACCCCTAATCACTGCACCTGCTGCCTGCTGCCCGTGATGGTCACTGACATAGGTTCCAAGCTACTAATCATAAAGTCTAACAGAGCACTTGCTCGTTCTATATTTGGTTTTGTTTGAGAAGCCTCTCAAAGGTATTAAGAAAAACTAAGTCTCATTGTTTTTTAACTACTAACATCAGTGAGAGTAAGAGAAGAGTAAGAGGACTTTTGCCAAAACTTGAGAAAAAGTTTTACTCCCAGGAATTGACCTGGAGACAATAGAGTCAGATAGGCCCTCAGATTTGGAGGTCGTGGACAGAGGGGACCTGGCTGCCGTCTCCTTGCCTGACCCAGGAGGTTAGCGAGTTCCCCAAATGATCCATGCCTGGGGTACCACTCACGTAGAGTAGAGATGGCTGAGAGGTGGCTCTAGAGGGACCCAGTGGAGCTTGACAGCACACCCCATGCCACCATATGGTGCTGGAGCCCAAAAATGTTCCCATGAGTCCAAAAGAAGCACAAAGGTCAAATGAGAGACAGCTGAGCATGGTGCACCTGGAGGTTGGGGAAGACAAACTCAGCTAGACCTAGAATCAGACAGGATGTATCATTCAGCGAAAGGGACTGTGAAGACGACTATAACCCAGACCAGCAATTTCTCCTCCCCACTCTCGCTTCCCAAATCCCCGGAAGGCTAGATCTAGAGTGCCCTATGGAGCACACATTGGCAGAAACACTGAAACAAAAGTATGAACCTGTTAAGCTCCGGTGATTCCACACTCCACGCTGGTGAAGGGCCTCCTAGCCTGTAGGCTGGGGTCCCAGTATGCCTAATGCCTGTGGGATTCTGCGAGTGGTATGGATAATAAATACTATATCTTATAGACTTCTACCTCATGAATTCAATAAGCTCAGTTGCCTACCCAACTCTCTTTTGGTTTTTCCATGTGCAAGCTCTGGATCATACACAAGCGATCCCAGATCACTGAGATTCACACCTGGCTCCTGATTTGGTATGGCCTGCAAGTAGACTGGAAATAATGCATCTCTCTCATCCTTACCTGGAATGCCAGGGGGACCAGGAGGTCCAGGGGGGCCTTGGTAGCCTCGGAAGCTGTAGTCTCCATGGCAACACTTGCTGCAGTCTGGGGGCAGTCCTCCAGTTTGTGGAGACTTTAAAAAAAAGACACAAAGAGAAACTTCAAAGAAGGGTACATGTGAGTAATTAGAACCTTTGAATTTCCTCTGGCTTTGGTCCCTAGGTAAGTTTAATTCCAAACAACCCACAACAACATCAGAAAAGAAGGTGTGGGGTGGGTATGTCAGTGGCAAAGGAGTCAGAGAACAGCTCAGGCGAGTTGATGATCAGAAGGCAAAGGAAACAATAGAGTAGGTAGAAGAACAGGCTCCTTGGAAAGTGGGAGTGGGAGTGGAGGATCGGGGCAGTGTTTCTAGAAAGTATGTTCCAGAAGCTATGGGAAAAGAGAAATCTCCTTCAGAAGTAGACTTGGAAACATTCCTTTTCTTTTCCAACTGGCTATAGTCTCAGACATAGCTAGACTGAGTAGATGACCCACAAATGATAAAATTACCAGCATCAAATACAGTAATTAAGACTATGTATATTCATGATACTACTGCATTAAATGTTCTTAGAAATTCTAAATTGCAACTCTAGTTTTTCCAACAGTCAAGGCACACATAAATTGCCTTAGAAAATTAAGATTCATGAATCCAAAAAGTTCTTATTAGTTATTTACAACTTGAAAGAATTTTACTTTTTTAAACTTCTGCCTTTAACATGCGGGTCTGTTTCATATTCCACTTGAAAATTTAAGTGATTATTTCACTGTTTGAATCAAGATTGAATGTCCATTGAGTCAGTGATGCCATTCAACCATCTCATCCTCTGTCATCCCCTTTGCTTCCTGCCTTCAATCTTCCCCAGAATCAGGGTCTTTTCCATGAGTCAGTTATTCGCATCAGGTAGCCAAAGTATTGGAGCTTCAGCATCAGACCTTCCAATGAATATTCAGGGTTGATGTTTTTTAGGATTGACTGGTTGGATCTCCTTGCAGTCCAAGGGACTCTCAAGGGTCTTCTCCAACACCATAGCTCAAAAGAATCAATTTTTTGGTGCTCAGCTTTCTTTATGGTCCAACTCTCACATCCATACATGACTACTGGAAAAACCACAGCTTTGACTAGATGGACCTTTGTTGGCAAAGTAATATCTCTGGTTTTTAATTTGCTGTCTAGATATGTCATAGCTTTTCTTCCAAGGAGCAAGCATTTTTAAATTTCATAGCTGCAGTCACCATCTGCAGTGATTTTGGAGCCCAAAATGATAAAGTCTGTCACTGTTTCCATTGTTTCCCCATTTCTCTTTGCCTTGAAGTGATGGGACCAGATGCCATGATTTTAGTTTTCTGAATGTTGAGTTTTAAGCCAGCTTTTTCACTCCCCTCTTTCACTTTCATCAAAAGGCTCTTTGGTTCTTCTTCACTTTCTGCCATAAGGGTGGTGTCATCTGCACATCTGAGGTTATTGATATTTCTCCCAGCAATCTTGATTCCAGCTTGTGCTTCTTCATCCAGCGTGGTATTTCACATGATGTACTCTGCATATAAGTTAAATAATCAGGGTGATAATATACAGCCTTGACATACTCCTCTCCTGATTTGGAACCAGTCTGTTGTTCCATGTCCAATTCTAACTGTTGCTTCATGACCTGCATACAGATTTTTCAGGAGACAGGTAAGGTGGTCTGGTATTCCCATCTCTTGAAGAATTTCCCACAGTTTCTTGTGATCAACATAGTCAAAGGTTTTGGTGTAGGCAATGAAGCAGAAGTATATGTTTTTCTGGAACTCTCTTGCTTTTTCTACGATCCAACAGATGTTGGCAACTTGATCTCTGGTTCCTCTGCCTTTTCTAAATCCAGCTTGAACATCTAAAAGTTCTTGGTTCATGTACTGTTGAAGCCTTGCTTAATGAATATTAAATGTATTCAAATATGACTCTGAGTTCAACACTTACTTATTCAATGATAAATGTCTAAAATTTGGGCTTACTGTCAAGGAGGTAGAGATTTGACAGAAGTTGAACAGCAGAAGAGTTAGAGTCACTCATAGAATTTCGAGTCTCTTCTAAATGGGCAACTTATAATTATAGGTAGCATACAAAAGACTTGTGAAAATGTTCCTTGACACCAATTAAAAATCAAAGGTTTTTTGAAAATAGCATATTGTTGCTAAGGGATTCATTTTTTAAAAGGAAGGGATGGGGTGAGAGAGGAAGGAAGGGAGAGAGAGAAATGGAGAAAAGGAGGGAGGAAGAAGTCATTTAAAATTCAAGTTTTCTCTGTCATTAGAAATCCAAGCAGAACAATGGATTAGTGCTTCACATTGTTGCACCTCTAGACTTTTACAGCACAGCAAATTCCACTCAATACTCTGTAATGGCCTATATGGGAGAAGAATCTAAAAAAGAATGGATAGAACATCCCTTGTGGTCCAGTGGTTAAGACTCTGCCTGCCAATGCAGGAGACTGGTTTGATCCCTGGTCAGGGAAGATTCCTTGTGCTGTGGGGCCACTAAGTTGTGTGCCACAACTACTGAGCCCATGTGCCCTAGAGCTGATGCTCTGCAACAAGACAAACCACCACAACGAGAAGCCCAAACACCACAACTAGGGAGTAGTCCCCGCTCACAGCAACTAGATAAAGCCTGTGCACAGCAATGAAGACCCAATGGAGCCAAAAATAAAATAAATAAATAAATACATTTTTAAGAAAGAGTGTATGTGTGCTAAGTTGCTTCAGTCATGGCTTATTCTTTGCAACCCTATGAGCCCTCCAGGCTCCTCTGTCCATTGGATTCTCCAGGCAAGAATACTGGAGTGGGTTGCCATTTCATCCACCAGGGCACCTTCCCAACCCAGGGACTGAACCAGAGTCTCATATGTCTCTTGTATTAGTAGGCAGGTTCTTTACCATTATCACTGCCTGGAAAGCCCCATGTATATGTGTGTGTATAACTGATTTACTTTGCCGTACACCTGAAACTAACACAACATTGCAAATCAACTATGCTCTGATAAAAATTATTTTTAAAAATTAAATTTGCATAAACAAAACAAAAAACAAGCTAGAATACTTTCCCTGACTCTTAGTTTTGTTTTTTTTTTTTTTATTTAAACAGGTTCCCACCTAGCTAAAATATTAAGAAACAAATGCCTCATCTGTAGTCCTGCAACAGCTCAGAGCCCAAACTCAAGGTTTCAGGAGCTAGGATTTGGACCAATCTCCTGGTCTAGTCTTCAGTCCCTCAGACCCAACTCCGGACAGGTATGGGAGTCCATGAAAACCTTTTACAAAACTGGCGGAGGAAAATAAAATTAGCCAAAGCAATTGGTTGGAGACAAGGGATTTCAGACACTTGGGAAGTCAGACACCACAGCACTGCCCCACCTTCTAATCCAAAGATGAAATCTGAGGAGTAAGTATTCTGTAATTTCCTGGTACGATTTTGCTAATATGAAATACAGATTTTTAAGCTCCAAGAAATTCTAAGCTCTGCCAATAATGAATTTAAGGGAAAGAGACGGGTGGGGATGAGGGAAAATCCTGAAGTGGAACCATTTATTTAAAAATAGAATTGAAAAACTGAGACAAAACTAAGAATGTCAGAAAGAGAACTGGACTGGAACCAGAACTCCCATTACAGGTCTGTGTGACTTTTATGAAGTCATTTTATCCAGACATTTTTCTTGTCTACTAAATTAGAGGACAGGGTAAAAATGGTCATGAAATTTCCTTCCAGCTCTATAACACAAACAATGATACTGAAGTCTTTCCCAAAGCCTCAGATGGTGACTTAGAAAGCTTTTGTTTTGAAGTCTAGTGTCTGGGCACAGGAAATTAGCTCCAAGAGATGAGGTGCACACCCAAGCACTTCTGAGAGTCCAGTTGTTTAGTCGCTAAGTTGTGTCTGACTCTTTTTACGACTCCATGGACTGTAGCCCACCAGGCTACAGTTTGTCTGTGGGATTCCCCAGGCAAGAACACTGGAGTGGGTTGCCATTTCTCAAGGGGATCTTCCTGACCCATGTATTGAATCCATGTCTCCTGCATCTCCTGCATTGCTAGGCAGATTCTTTACCACTGAGCCAACAGGCAAGTTGAGAGCACAGAGCTGCCATCAAAACAGGGAGAGATTTCTGGTCACTATGTGGGCCCCCTCCTAAGAACCCTCTTGCAACATTTCACAACATGGTCCTCCCTCTGGCCTGGTCTTTCAAAAATCAATCAAATGGAACAATGTCTGTGAGCCTTAGAACAATTTGGACAGGATGTGTTAGTTGAGAAGTTTTCTCCCAGGTAAGGGAGATTCACAAACTAGGTAATTCTGTATATCACCTTGCTATCGACTCTTTTCCCAAAATTAGGTCAAATTTGAGCACGAAGTTCATGCAAATGTGTGGTATGGGAGGAAGAAGTTCCCTAAGACAAGTTCCATCTATTCTGTAGATGGAGGCCTAGGGGCAGCTACCGAGAATGAAGCTCTACTATTGGGAAATGACTTCAGGAAAGAGGGTCCACAGCCCCTTCTGTGGAAAGGGAAAAGCGAAGAGAAAGAAAGTGAAGGGAAGTGGAGGAGGGAGAGACAGGTGCCCAGGAAGAGCAGGGAAGGTTGATACAGGTGGAAATGGTGAAGAGCTGCAGAGAAGAAAATGCCAGGAAAAGGGGAGTGCAGGTCTCCCTGGGAGAGTGGTCACCCACCTCTATGCATCTCTGCACAAACCCTATGGCCAGAGTCCTCTTTTTAGAACACAAACCTGACTTCACTGCCCTGCTATGTATGAACAAAACTTCTGCGTGCAAAATAAGCTCTAAGCTTCTTAACCGGTCAACAGAATCCATCAAATGGCACTAAAATCACGGGTGTCTTCCTCCCACAGCCCAGGCACGCCACCAACATCCACTCCTCCAGGCTCTCTCAAGGCTCTTCCTGTCACACAAATTTATTTTATCTTTTCTATGAATAGCCATCCTTTTTGTCTCATCCTTTGAGATCCAACTCAACAGCCACCACCATTCTGACCCTTTCCTCCCAACAGTCTTTTGTGTGTGAACTTTATCACATGGTATTGAATTATCTGTTAATTTATCCCCACAAGAGCCCTTCAGAACTGTTCAGCAATAGAAGTTTGAGTGTATCTATCCCCATCCTAAAATGTGGCTCACAGGAGAAGCACAGGGAATAGATTGGTGAAGGAAAAAAAAAAGATTGGTAAAAGAGTGAATGAGGATTAAGAGAAGAGGCGGGGAGTGGGGGGAGTGAGGAAAGAAGGAAGCACACAGAAAAATCCTAAATTCAACGTGGGGCTCCATATCCATAGGCAGAGAATTGTACTAAAACTTCTAGAGTATCAGTGGCTAAATCTCCACAGTAACTCCTGTTGGAGGCTGATTTGGAAATACTGCAGGAATCCAAGGGAGTTTAAAAGCACCCTCCTTCAAAAAAAAAGAAAGAAAAAAAAGGAAACCCCGAAGTGGCTTCTTATCCACCTCATCTGATTTTAATATGCTAGATGCCTAGGCCACTAGCAGGTAGCATGGAACAGAAATGTAATTTGAATTTCAGTGGCCTGACGGGTGCCAAAAAATAATAACCCATGACAGCCCACATCTGCCTTCTGCTGCCTCTGGGGGCTCACACAGCCATGGCCAAGAAGGATCCAGCAGAGAGCCCATTTACTGAAGTGGAAAATCCAGATCAAGGCTTGGACAAAAGCACAGATATCTTCACCACTGATAAACACAAATCAGTATTAATCACTCTTCAGCCAAAAGACTGTCAGATAAAAGGACAACCTCTAAAAGTGGCTTTCAAAAAGCAGGACTGGGGACTTCCCTGGTGGTCCAGTGGTTAGGGCTTCTCACTTCCACTGAGGGGATACGGATTCGTCCTCGGTTGGGGAACTAAGATCTCACTTGCCACACAGCATGGCCAAAAAATAAATAAATAAATAAATAAACAGGATTGTGTTTAGAGGTTATTTTTTCTCCTGCAGCTCCACCAATTCAACCAGGCCCCACAGAATGGTTTGCACAACTACATCTGTGGTCAAGTTAGAAGTCCCAAGTTTGTTTCAGATCCACAACTGCTTCTGCTTATAATCTTGGTGTGATCATTCTACCGGTCTCAACCCACGCGTTCAGTTTGTGGTTGGAGAGGTTTAGATTTCAACTGCATGGGCGTCTTCAGGGCCTATCCAATGCACGTGTGTGTGCGTGCTCAACGGCTTTGCATGCTCAGTCGCTTCAGTCGTGTCCCACTCTGCCCACCAGACTCCCCTGTCCATGGGATACTCCTGGCCAGAAAACTGGAGTGGGTTGCCATTCCCTTCTCCAGGGGATCTTCCCAACCCAGGAATCAAACTGGGGTCTCACACATTTCAGGCAGGTTCTTTACCAGCTGAGCTACCAGAAACAGTCAATTCTTACAGTAAAATTTATCTGTCCAAAAATCATATAATTCAGAGTAACTCTCCTTGCCCCCTCATCTGATTTCATCATGCTGATTCCTGGAAGGCAAATCAAAATCTGCTTCTTCCTTATGTTGCACACCTGAGACTAATATCATGTTATATATACCCCAATTAAATTTTTTAAATCAAAAATAATAGACATTCAAAAACCTGTTTCTTCCTGTCCTTAATGTTTTCAATGAAATTGAGTTTCATCAAGTTGCTATTCACTACACTAAAACATTAACTCACTCCTATACCACCCTGAAAGAGTTAAAGATGCCTCCCTAGATGCTGAGCTTATCCTCATCATTTCACACAAATCCTCTGATTATCAGGCACTCAGTCATACGATAGCATGAAGTCTGCATTTTAAATACAGATATATGTTTTTGTTTTAACTCTTTGGTCCTTTTTAAAACAAAGTGAAGGTAGAGACTTAGTAACCTAGAGTGCTGTTAAATCAAATAATCAAGCCTAGCATGAAATGTCACAGTAAACTCGCAAATAAAATGAAAAACTCAAAGGGCAGCTTCTCTCTGCCAGGAAGAATGAAGAAAATCCAATTTACGATCTGTAAATGATTATCTCTAGCAACCCGTCTATCGGCAAAGGTCAGCTCTCCTCCTCCTTTCCAAACCAACAGAGCAAGAAAGAAACAAAATCACAGCAGAGCAGGGTTGATGCTCCACTCCCCTTTCTGATGGGGCGTCTGTGGCTTCTCTTTATCTCCGTATATCAATGCTACCTCTGCTGAGTGTCTAACGCACACTTCCAGCGCCCCTAGCATCCCACAGAGACCCAGAGAGAGAGACCCGCGAGCAGCTCAGCCAGCTTCTGGAAGAACTGCTCCCGGGAATCACAGCTGGAAAAAAGAAAAAAAAAGAACAAAGACAACACATCTCATGAAGCTTTGACAGTAACCCTTAAAAGAGAATTCCGAGTACCTGGCCCCAGAATGGGGTGATCTGGGCTAGGTCATCTACCTCGGGGGGCGGTAGCTCATCCGGCCTCAGGGATTTTAGGTCTGTAGAAGTGTTATTATCCACAGTCCCAGTTCTAGGATGGCTCCGCTCTCTCACTTTCTCCCTTCTGGAGCCGCTACGGCCAGTCTGCTGATGGCTTTGCACTATTCGCGCCACCACTTTATTAGCTCTTCCGCTCACCTCCATGTATTCATCTTGACACAGGCAAAAAGGGAGGAAAAGCAAAGCCAGAAGGTGCCAACAGACGAGCTGCCTTCCCCGCATGGTTCTCAACAGAGCCACAGAGCCTCCCGGGGAAGACGGCTGGGGCTCTGGGCGCCGTGGTCTCCTCGGGCAAGCGCCAGCGGCTGGAGATCAGAGCTGCCTCCGGCCGCGCGGTTTTTATAGTTCGGTGTGTAATAAATAAGGCAGCAGGCAAGCCAGAGGGAGAGCGGTCCTCCTCCGCGGGCAGAAGAGGCCCCATTCATCACTTTCCCACACCACAGGCAAAACGGCTTGTGTGCACAGCTCCCGGTTGGTGGGGTTCATAAATGTCACACCTTGGCACGTTTTTTTGTGAAAGTGTGAAGGGAACATACACAACCAGCTGGAAACAGGCAGCATGTGTCCCGCGGTTCGCTTTTGCGATTAGACATGGAAAGGCTGCGCCTTTGCGGTCTAAGATGCCTTTTGGAAAAAACTCCTCCCGGGCTTGCCAGGAAATTCGGGCTTAACTGCATCAGTTCCGTCTGAAATGGCAGTGGAAACGTGTTCAGGGCCATCGAGAGAGCTATGCGCTCTCATTATACAGTTCATATTTCCCCCACTTAAAGGAACTCATTTCCCGTTCTGGCTCCGGCAGCACAAGGCAGTTGGGTGACTCCAGAACACTGAACTGGATTCAGGTTCAGAGTCTCTGGGTTTAGCAAAAAGCATCTCTCCATCCTAGGTTTCATTTCCTTTTCCCTGGAGTTTCCAAAAGCCAGAGTCAGATCAAAGTGGATGAAGTCGCTTCTGGCCAGATGAAGATTCGACAGCCTGCTTCATATTAAAAGAAAATTGTCTCTGGCTTCTCTTCCTTCTGACACATTCTTGATTAAAATGAAAGAAATGCAAAGATTCCAACCAAACACCGTCCTCCAAGTAGATCAGGCTGGAGAAAATTATCATTGCCTTTAGGATGCTTGCCACATTTTAATGAATTCAGCCAAAGAGAAAATGGACTTTCCTAACTCTCTCTTTTTTTTCTCTCTTGGCCTGCTGGGTCTTCCTTGCGGTGAGCTGGCTTCTCTAGTTGTGACACTGGCTTAGTTGCCCTGCATCGTGTGGGATCTTAGTTCCCCAACCAGCAATTGAACTCACGTCCTCTTCGTTGTGGATTCTTAACCACTGGACCACCAGGGAAGTCTCACTGAACTCTTTGTGATAATAAAGAGAACTCATATAGTTTTGCTGTTAAAAACTGCCTCTATTTCCACATCATTTTATTTAATAGTGCTCATTCACTCACATAACACAAAGTCACTGTCCTGCCCCATGAGAAGAGACCCTGGGACTTAAAGGCAATGAGTGGCCAGTATGTGTGATGCTAAGAGGACAAGGGCAGCACTGTCAGAAGCCACAACTGGGAAAGCCAGGCCTGAGAATGAGGTGATAGAGCCGCTGGAGAGAGGGCAGAGGCTGCTCACAGCTGTCCTCCTCACTCAGCAAAAAGGGCCCGGGAACCAAAAGCCATCTCTTGCTGCAAGACACCTCATTCCTGCCTCTGCCAGAACAGCAGCTTCTAGAGCCCACACTTTGGCATAGAATGGACTCGGTGTGGAGGATGGAGCAAGAGAGGGAGTCAGTAAAATAAAAGTTCTCTGGTTCACAAACACAGGGGTCTTTGGAGTAATGCTTCTTCCAAGCAGGCCGCTCCCCACTCAGTCAGATCAGTTGCTCAGTTGTGTCCGACTCTTTGCCATCCCACAGACTGAAGCACGCAAGGCTTCCCTGTCCATCACCAACTCCTGGAGCTTGCTCAAACTCATGTCCATCGAGTAGGTGATGCCATTCAACCATCTCATCCTCTGTCCTCCCCTTCTCCTCCTGCCTTCAGTCTTTCCCAGCATCAGGGTCTTTTCCAGTGAGTCAGTTCTTCGCATCAGGTGGCCAAAGTATTGGAGTTTTGGCTTCAGCATCAGTCCTTCCAATGAATATTCAGGACTGATTCCTTCAGGATTGACTGGTATGATCTCCTTGCAGTCCAAGGGACTCTCAAGAGTCTTCCCCAACACCACACTTCAAAAGCATCAATTCTTCAGCCCTTAGCTTTCTTTAGAGACCAACTCTCACATCCATACCTGACTGCTGGAAAAACCACAGCTTTGACTAGATGGACCTTTGTCAGAAAGGTAATGTCTCTGCTTTTTAATATGCTGTCTAGGTTTGTCATAGCTTTTCTTCCAAGGAGCAAGTATCTTTTAATTTCTTGGCTGCAGTCACCATCTGCAGTGATTTTGGGGCCCAAGAAAATAAAGTCTGTCACTGTTTCCATTGTTTCCCCATCTGTTTGCCATGAAGTGATGGGACCAGATGCTTTGATGTTGAGTTTTAAGCCAACTTTTTCACTCTCCTCTTTCACTTTCATCAAGAGGCTCTACCTTATTGAACTGTAAGAAACTTGGCCATCCCCACTTCATAAGTCTTCCCTTAGATGTCCAGAATGTATCTCCTGGAGGATTTTTTGAGTTCTTTGATGAACACTCTTGAGCAGATATCCCCAGGGAAGGTAGCACATCAAGCTATTATCTGGCATTAATTCTTTTTTTTTTTTTTTAATTTTTGTTTTTTATTTTTTTAAAATTTTTTTATTTTTATTTTTTTTTTATTAGTTGGAGGCTAATTACTTTACATCATTGCAGTGGTTTTTGTCATACATTAAAATGAATTAGCCATGGATTTACATGTATTCCCCATCCCGGTCCCCCCTCCCACCTCCCTCTCCACCCAATCCCTCTGGGTCTTCCCAGTGCACCAGGCCCGAGCACTTGTCTCATGCACCCAACCTGGGCTGGTGATCTGTTTCACCCTAGATAATATACGTGTTTCGATGCTGTTCTCTTGAAACATCCCACCCTCGCCTTCTCCCAGAGTCCACAAGTCTGTTCTATACATCGGAGTCTCTTTTTCTGTTTTGCATATAGGGTTATCGTTACCATCTTTCTAAATTCCATATATATGTGTTAGTATACTGTAATGGTCTTTATCTTTCTGGCTTACTTCGCTCTGTATAATGGGCTCCAGTTTCATCCATCTCATTAGAACTGATTCAAATGAATTCTTTTTAATGGCTGAGTAATATTCCATGGTGTATATGTACCACAGCTTCCTCATCCATTCGTCTGCTGATGGGCATCTAGGTTGCTTCCATGTCCTGGCTATTATAAACAGTGCTGCGATGAACATTGGGGTGCACGTGCCTCTTTCAGATCTGGTTTCCTCGGTGTGTATGCCCAGAAGTGGGATTGTTGGGTCATATGGCAGTTCTATTTCCAGCTTTTTAAGAAATCTCCACACTGTTTTCCATAGTGGCTGTACTAATTTGCATTCCCACCAACAGTGTAAGAGGGTTCCCTTTTCTCCACACCCTCTCCAGCATTTATTGCTTGTAGACTTTTGGATAGCAGCCATCCTGACTGGTGTGTAATGGTACCTCATTGTGGTTTTGATTTGCATTTCTCTGATAATGAGTGATGTTGAGCATCTTTTCATGTGTTTGTTAGCCATCTGTATGTCTTCCTTGGAGAAATGTCTGTTCAGTTCTTTGGCCCATTTTTTGATTGGGTCATTTATTTTTCTGGAGTTGAGCTGGAGGAGTTGCTCGTATATTTTTGAGATTAATCCTTTGTCTGTTGCTTCGTTTGCTATTATTTTCTCCCAATCTGAGGGCTGTCTTTTCACCTTGCTTATAGTTTCCTTTGTTGTGCAAAAGCTTTTAAGTTTCATTAGGTCCCATTTGTTTATTTTTGCTTTTATTTCTAAAATTCTGGGATGTGGGTCATAGAGGATCCTGCTGTGATTTATGTCGGAGAGTGTTTTGCCTATGTTCTCCTCTAGGAATTTTATAGTTTCTGGTCTTACATTTAGATCTTTAATCCATTTTGAGTTTATTTTTGTGTATGGTGTTAGAAAGTGTTCTAAAAAATATGGAACGCTTCACGAATTTGTGTGTCATCCTTGCGCAGGGGCCATGCTAATCTTCTCTGTATCGTTCCAATTTTAGTATATGTGCTGCCGAAGCGAGCACCTGGCATTAATTCTTAACAGAGTATTTTTGAACAGATCTGGGGCAGGAGACTGGGGAAGGACAGCTATTAGGTCTTGTGGATGAGCAAGTGTATGGCAGATTGCTGTGGGGGAAAAGGCCTAGGGTCTCTCGATGGGGACGCTCCATCATCAGGGAAGCCTGGATAACATTCTACAGGGAGACTACAAGGCAAGACATGTCTCTGAAATCTAGGTCACCTCATTCACAAGTTTTCTAAGAGCTGTTTCTGGCAGTTCCACTAATCTGGATAAGTAGCTTCAGGTCAACCTCTACTGACTTTCAACAGCGTTGAGATTTTCCATTGGTGTTTTCCACTCTTTCATGTGTTCTTGTGGTTCTCAATCCTGTCTGCATAATAAAATAAACCAGGGAGATTCTAAATATATCATGCCTGGATCTCATCCCAGACCAATTGAGTCAGAATCTCTAGTGGGGCCTGGGCATTAAGAGTTTTTAAAAATTCCCTGAGATGATGCTAATTTGTAGTCAGGGTTAGGAATCGCTAACCCATCCTTTCCTTGACTCAATAGAAATGGTGTTGTTGTTGTTTAGTGGCTAAGTTGTGTCCAACTCTTTTGTGACCCGTGAACTGTAGCCTGCAAGGCTCCTCTATCCATGGGATTTTCCCAGACAAGAATACTGGAGTGGGTTGCCATTTCCTTCTCCAGGGGATCTTCCTGACCCAGTGATCAAACCCGCGTCTCCTGCATTAGTCAGCGGATTCTTTACTGCTGAGTAGGAATAAATGACAATAATATCTCTCCTTTGTTGATCATTTACCATATGTCAACTGAGTACTTCTTTGCTTTAACTCACTGACTTCTCTCAGTAAACCTATTGTTCCCATTTTATAGATGAGGAAATAGAGGTTCAGAGAAATAAAATGACTTGCCTGGTATTGCACAGTTGGAAGGAGGTCATTAGGCTATGCCTCCATCTGTCCTCCTGCCTTCCTACAGCAAAACAAGAGAAAACC